GGAGGAGGAGAGAGAGAGAGAGAGAGAGAGAGAGAGAGAGAGAGAGAGAGAAGAGAGCGGAATGGAGCGACTATAAATTGTCAATTTCGAAGTCAATTTGGCCGGGCTTACCAATCGGCTGCCGGTTAATTTCAAGGTGAATTGTGTCCAATATGGGTATATTATTAATGGGCCGGCGAGGGATAGGGTGCACTCTCGAGCGGAGGGTTGCAACCCCGTTTTCGCGCACTGGCCAAATCTATCGCTCGGGGCCGGCGATACGCTCTCTCGTGTTCGGCATCCCGGGATTAAACGGCGCGCCATGCGATGTCCTCGCTCGTTCTCGCATCTGGGTTAAGCTCGGCGATCGGAAACGACCGATCCCACCTTTTCTAATCCACGCTTCCGGATTTTTCTTCTCCGCCGTTCCGCGCCGTTCCACGGCGGCATGGAATTCGCCACGCCTCGACAAAGGAGCCACTGTTGCTCGTTAAACAACGGGGAGCGCTATCTTTGAATTACGACGCCAGCCAACGCAGCGTTATCGCATCCTGCTACCGTTCTGCGCCGTCCAAACATCGCTCCTCCCCGAAAACGCGCGGGAACCCGCCGCGAGAAACGGATCGCGTCGTTCTTCGCCTTCCTTTCTTTCTTTGCAAGCGCGTCTCTCTCCGCCAACGAAGGAAAAAGACGTCTCTCAGATTCGAAACATCCGCATCGATCCGATATCGAGCACTTCTCCTCCTCCCCTCGTATACCGGCAGGATATAAGCACTCGGGGAATTTTAAGCGTGTAACCAAGCGATAACCGAGGGCCGTGTGCCGGAGAAAGAAAGATCCGTGGAAAGATAGGCGGATGGATCGCGTCGCGTCGTTTTACGATTAGCTTGGGGAGGGTCGAAGCGTCAACCTTGCCGTTAATACGGCCGCTAATTCGAAGTAACCTCGCGTCTCGTTTCGACGCGTTGTTTCGTGACGCATCCACGCGCGATTTATAGACGCGTCTCAACGCGTCTCCCCTCCGAATAATCCAGATTTCCTCCGCGGTGTAGACGGGTGTACTGCGACGCGGAACCACCCTTTGGCAATTAAAAAAACTATAAACCGCTTAACCGCGGCGCGGCTCGCAACGAACGTGAAGTCGTAAAACGATACAACGAATAATATAATACGAGCGTCCGTGGCTCCGCTTCTAATTGTCAGTTTCGCTTTTTACGTCCTTTCCCCGCTTTTCCGCCCATTGCCGACCGTCATCGTTCTCCCCTCCTCTCGTTCGTCTCTGTGTGCATGAACACGCACGCACAGCACACCGAAGTCTTGTCCCCCGAAATCTTTTTCCAAAAGTCGACGAGAGTCGACGCGTCCCTCCCGTAAAGCTTCGTCGCGGCCAATTCCCGTCATAACAACGACTTCAATTTTCGTCAAAAGTCTTTCGACGTTATCTTTCGTATCGTCGACGTCGTTGTTCCGAGACACTCCTTCATTTTTCCTTTCTCTCTCTCTCTCTCTCGCGTGCTCGGTCTTCTTTTCGATTTCTCGCTTTATAAAGCTCGATCGCTCGGGTTGTGAAATTCGGGCTAGCATTTTCCAAATTATAAATTTTTACGAGGGCTCGATCGAGCGAGAGAGGACGACGAGCGTTTCTCCTCCCTCCCTCCTCTCTCTCTCTCTCTCTCTGTTATTTCCTTTCCATCCTCCCCGCACGCACAATTCAACTCCCTTCCTCCGTGGATCGCGGCAATCCCGTCAGTCAGATTGGATTTGTCCGATTTCGCGCCCGGAGTGGAAAAGAACGAGTG